TGCCGAAAAATTTTTTTTCTGAAATAAATATTGGAGAAAATACACTGTCTTATCATAAACATAAATTTTAAATACTTAATGCAAAAATCATACCTTCTTGCGGATGACGTTCTGAAGATCCTATTCCTTCAAAATCTAATGCCACATAAATAACATCTTCTGTGATAGCTATTAATAGTTTATTATTAATGAAATATAAAACAAACATGCTTTGTAGATAACGCAACTACATCAAATAATTACATAACGACATCCATGCACCTTCCGTACATCGCTACAATATATTTAATTTAGTAAACTTTATTAAGGATAAACTTTAATTGGGACAAATACAGACCATTGCTGATCCATCAAAGTTTGTTCCTACAAGCTTTAATTAAAATTTAAATTAATATTAAAAATAATGAAACAAATCGAAAACCAATATAATTTAAATTATATATAGTACATGATTCATCAAATATGATTTTCCACAGCTCTGTTCACCCATTGAGGATACTGCTTTAATCTTTCGATCGTCATAATATTTAAAAATCCCTTCATACCATCCAAATGATATTTTATAGCTTATTTTTTCTGTTTGATCTTCATCTTCATCTTCATTATTTATAATGTAATTTTCAGGTGCATCAAGACCATTATAAAGTGGAATTAATTTGTTTTCTCTAGCAATTGCTATTTGAATAGGTACTAAACAGCATAGCTATTTTTATAAGTTAATAATATTAATAGCCGCTATAGAAAAAATAATTGACAAATGTGTAAATATGAAATTTTATAACTTAACCTGAATTATCCATTCACCAAGCTGAATTTGGGATGCATTTTGTCTAATAATCGAATTATCAAATAGATCTTGATAATGTTCAACATTAATTTTAAATCGACTCAATAGAATGGCAGGTTTTTGAGTTGATATCTTTACTCTATCTAGCATATTAATAATATATCTTTCAAAATTTTCTTTATAACTCAGAGCTTGCTCACAATCCAGAAATATAAATAGTTTTGGTGCTTTGTTTTTTCCATTATCAATACATGGATTGATTGGAAACTTTTCATACGTATCAGCATAAATGTCAATTAATCTATTAAGTTTTGTTTTAGGCCAAATTTTAAAAGGATGCCACTTATTTAGAATATTATCAGAGAAACAATCTTCAATTTTTAAGCGATCGTTAGAAATAATTTCAATAATAAGTTTTTTTTCATTCCCAATGATAATGTAATCCCCAACTTCAAAATCAGACTGAAAACTTGTTTCTTGACCAGTTATTTCTGAATGATTATTCTGGATTTCTGAAGGTTTAACATGTCCAAGTGATAATTTATTGACTCTTTGAAATTGAAACTCCAATCTATCAACAGAAATTTTTATTAAAAAAGATCTAAAACATAATTTGCTTAAGTCAATATAGCTTAAGTGGATCTGTTTGTCAAGAATGCAAGAAAAATGACAAAATTTTAATTCTCTGTCATTTAGTTGTAGGTCAATCACTGCGAAAATATATTCTGTTAATAATTTTCAATT